AAGTAACTTTGTAACTACATGTCAACTAGCAGTTAGTCGAGTATTAGTAGACTGTCTGCTTAACACTTAAGACTATCTTCTAACACTTTCTTTGTCAACTTATTCTACTAACCCTAAACCTACCCTAACAGTCTACTCTGAGAGTTAGTAGACATGTAGTTGCAAATTAATGAGAATTAGTTAACATGTAGTTGACATGTAGTTACAAAGTTACTTATAGTTAATAGAATGTCTAAAGTGGACTATCGAAATAAAGTGTAACCCTATCCCTTTAATGAATACAAGTATTAGTTTATTTAAAAAAATATCTTAGTAATGACCCCAAACTTTTGAACAGAGAGAGAGAGAGAGAGAGAGAGAGAGAGACAGACAGACAGACAGATAGATAGATATATAGATTAAAGTGCATAAATCTCACTCACATCATGAAGGGGATATGCTGAAGTGTAGGTGCCATTGTTCAGCAGTCGGTTAATTCCCGTCTTATCTTTCTCTTTACGGTCTTCCTTGTAGTAAGGGCAGCGGGTTAGGATGTAGTACACGATCCTGTTGCGAGTGGAGGGAGGAAAAAATGTGTCCTTATCATCAATGAGGAAGAAGTCAACCTTGCTCTTGTCAAAAGGTGCAGTGAAGTAGTCCGGCTCTGGCCTCATGATGTTGTCTGGCAGCCGGAAAGGGTGAGTGAGCCACTCCAGAGGAACTTCTCGAGCTTTGGGAATATCGCTCGCTTTAAAGGGCACTTTGATCTTTAGCACATCAGCATAGGTGGCCAACACTTCCCACGGAGCGTGAATCTTCAGATAATACGTCTTACGGTCATCTGACTCCTGCAGGGGGAGATATTTTTGAGTGGGGAAGTGTTGTATGTGATTATCAAATGCACAAAAGAGTCTGAGCTTTGATATAGTAGATATATTAAAATAAATTATTAAAAGAATAAAATGTATGCATAACAGAAGTATTTTATATGCAACAATGAGGGGGCCATGTGTGGCCTAGAACCTCACTGATTTATCTTCAGTCTCCAGCTCAAGACCAGCCTTCTCCAGGTTAGCTTCAAACTCTCTTCTTCTCTCCTGGAGGAAAAACATCAGATATTCTCAACTATTCATTAATTATTTTTCTCTTTCTCGTTTTTATCATTACTTAAGTCACCAATTCATTTAGTTTTGTATCTGGTAACAGTGTGACATTTTAAGTTCTGAGGGTAGTAAACAATCTTTGAACTGTGTCTTTAGAGAAAACTTGTATTTCCCACAAGCACCGGTGACCTATGGCTACCACATCTTATCTTATGGAACACCATCTCAAACGGGTGACTCAAGGGATATGACCTTCATTAAGCAGAGAGCCTGACCATGCATCAACCTCTGCATACAGGAGAAAACAGATCAAACATGTTCATCGGCAAACCCTTCAGTGTTCTCAGCGATTGAACTGAATGAAGGGTCTGGCGAGAGAGAAGTGGTTGACCCCTGCTCTCGTTTTATGCAATCAATGTTCAGCATTCAGTTTATTGTGCAACAGCTTCAATCGGACTCTGACTCACTGTTTCTCACTGTGCCTTATGACCCAGCAGACATCTCACCCCATCTCACCACTGCACGCCTACATACAGGTCCCCATCAGACTATTTTTGTACACAATGAGCAATATTAAGCATCAGTCATTGTTTGATTGCTTAACAAGGCCAAGTACAGAACATTTGGAGAGAATGCACACCAATTAGAAATCCGGCATCAAAATGCATAATGGGATCATGCCTGTGGAAAACAATCAATTATTAAGAGTAGCAAAAGTAGTCACGAATTTGCATTTTGGTCAATGAGTGTGCATGATTAAGAAAAGCAAAAAATATAAAATTCACTTTCTGTACTTATGTCAGTTTCATATGGCTTTGAATTACTTTTATACAAATATATATATATATATATTGGTGCTGTCAAACGATTAATCGCGATGAATCACATCCAAAATAAAAGTTTTTGTTTATGTAATATATGTGTTAAATACAGGTGCATCTCAATAAATTAGAATGTCGTGGAAAAGTTCATTTATTTCAGTAATTCAACTCAAATTGTGAAACTCGTGTATTAAATAAATTCAATGCACACAGACTGAAGTAGTTTAAGTCTCTGGTTCTTTTAATTGTGATGATTTTGGCTCACATTTAACAAAAACCCACCAACTCACTATCTCAACAAATTAGAATACTCCATAAGACCAATAAAAAAAAACATTTTTAATGAATTGTTGGCCTTCTGGAAAGTATGCTCATTTACTGTACATGTACTCAATAACTTGGTAGGGTCTCCTTCTGCTTTAATTACTGCCTCAATTCGGCGTAGCATGGAGGTGATCAGTTTGTGGCACTGCTGAGGTGGTATGGAAGCCCAGGTTTCTTTGACAGTGGCCTTCAGCTCATCTGCATTTTTTGGTCTCTTGTTTCTCATTTTCCTCTTGACAATACCCCATAGATTCTCTATGGGGTTCAGGTCTGGTGAGTTTGCTGGCCAGTCAAGCACACCAACACCATGGTCATTTAACCAACTTTTGATGCTTTTGGCAGTGTGGGCAGGTGCCAAATCCTGCTGGAAAATGAAATCAGCATCTTCAAAAAGCTGATCAGCAGAAGGAAGCACACATACACACACGTGCATGATAAAATTAAAGTTCTGAATATTAGTGGCATACCGCTTTCTTGTCTCCATCCTTGTCATCAACGTAGGACAGGACAAAATCGATGCGCCGTACACCATCCCTGAAGTACACAGAGTCCCTGTTCTGTCCAAGCTTATCTATCTAGAAAAGAAAAAGAGATTCAAATCAAAAACAGTCCTACTCTCATACACAACCACATGACCATGGAGATTCAGAGAGTTGACTTGTCACAATGAACAAATAAGACATGACGCATGTGATTTCTATCAACTGTGAGGGTCTCTTATCTTTTCCAGGTGACGAAACCCCAAACAATGGTGTGAAACAGTAAGTGGAAGTGATGCTCATGAAGCGTACTGCATAAATCACTGTAGTGCTCAGGGTAGTGAACGCAGGACAAGAAATGTACTGCTGAGTAAAACATCATCCCACTAGCACTGCAGAAATAGCATCATGACAGCGTGAGAGGCTCCAGGACGAGCTGCAGCGAGATGTGCAGAGAAAACCACAGGTACGGTATGAAGAGAACGGTTACTTCTGCAAACAGTGTGAAATTAACACACACACAAACACACATTTACTTAGCTTCAGTATCTAAATGAGGACATTCCATAGAGCTCTGCTGTTTTTATGTACAGCTAGTTTACAATACTATAACCTAACCCTAACAGAAAAATGTTTGCCTTTGTACAAATTTTTTTTTTAAAGATATTTTTTTGACAATTTTACAAATGAGGAGGTCCCCAAAATATGGTTAAGTAGGTATACACATACAAGCAGACAGGCAAAAAAAGAATAGTGATGTACAGATATGAATTAATAAAAACACATTCAATTACAAGTGTAGTAATATTATGGCACCTTTCTGAAAATGGTTTAAACTAAGAATTCTTACGATCATATATTTATATTTGATTATATTTATAAAATTTGATTTGATATATTATTATAAAAAACAATCCAGCTTTCCCAGACACACACACACAAAAAAAACATATCGATACTAAAACCGCTGTCATTAATAAAATTATGCAAATTGACATAAAACCTCAGAAAACTCTAAAAAGGTGATTAATACTAGTGCGACATCAAATGTCATACTTGTGCAAACATGCCTTTGAAGTATGTTAGCAAGACGTGTTGTTTTTCACTCTTGCGAGACATACACATACCTTACATCATGCATAAAAATCCCACAAGCACGGAGGAAGAGAAAATACCAACTGTACCTTCAAATATGCTGCTCCAGACAGTAAAACAAGCCAAAACAGATAAGTCACAAAAACGCTTGCCTGCTTGGCACGTCTTTCTAAATAAGGCCATTCAGAGACCGAAACAGGAAAAGCCATTAAACTAATAAAGTGGAGGCACTGTGCCATTTGTGGAGGCATTTTATTGCGTTCTACTAATTAAATTTGAGAGAGCTGACAGGAGCACTTATTTTCAAACAGGTACTTTGTTAATCAGCACTACTGGTCAGGTGGGACCTTTGTATGCTGCTCTGTTAGGAAAAGAAATGGAGGATTATTGATCACTATTGATGTCAAAATGACAATCACAGACTTCCAAACAATCTATAAAGCAACAACAAATCACCAAAACCATTTCGACTACAAGGATTCCTAAGAATATCTAGCTATACAGTTTCACATGATCTAATATCTGCACTCATTCAAATTAATCTCTATTAAGCTGCATATCTCAAACACTACACATTAGGGTCATCATATAAAGGCAAAGTGGATGAGAAAGCACTGGTCTTGTTGGTCCCATCAGAGCTGTTGAAGTGTAAAAACAGAGTGACAAAGCATTGTGTGTCGGTGTAGTCCAGTCTCAATGTGTCCATTATCAAGAAAATAATAAAAAATTTAATTAAATTCTAATATTGACTAAATACACCATGTTAATTTAAGTTATAACAAAAATAACTTTTCATTATTGATGTAGCAGTTAGTACTGAACAAATGTAATGTTCAGCCCTAAAAGTTTAATGTTTAACATCATTTAAGGTACAATTTAGTCACTTAAAGCAAACTCTAACAAAGTCAGCAACAATCTCTCCCAGGACCTGACCATGAATGGCGTATCCATACCTCAGTTTGAGCAGTCATAACTTTCATAAAGTGCTCCAGTGGTGAGAGCATTTACAAAATGTCCATGTTGTAAGCAGTGTTAGCAAATGCTAACTGTGAGCTGCACACTCTCTCGCACAAAGACCTCTGATAAGAGCGGGTCACTCCCCCTTACTGCAGACAACTCGGGGACACATGCCTTTGCCTGGAGACTCTCCTGTGGTTATCTGGTTTATACTGTTCTGGGACTGAGATCACAGTGCTGCTCATTGTAATACTTCATCATTTAATACAAATTCAACTCTGGATGCCCCCTCATTAAACTGATATCACAAGGGTGACTAATTCCACAACCTTGCAGTTAAGACTTTTTATTTATTTTTTATCTGCATCCAAGTTTAGTGAGATTATGAAACAAAAATGTACCATTGCATCTAGCTTGCCAAAACACTCCTTTATTGCTGACTGCACTAAGATGAAGAAAGTATCATTAGCAAAGTGCACCAGCAAGAGAAACAGAGCAAAGGCATATTGAAATCTATTGATGCTTGCTTATATGGTTTCATGTAAAAATGCCAAAATCAATGCTTAAAGAAACACTCCACTATTTTTGAAAATAGGCTCATTTTCCAACTCCCCTAGAGTTAAACAGTTGAGTTTTACCGTTTTCGAATCCATTCAGCCGATCTCCGGGTCTGGCGGTAGCACTTTTAGCTGTAGCTTAGCATAGATCATTGAATCTGATTAGACCGTTAGCACCTGAATATAGGCTTATTGGAAGTTACCTAGCTGGGACTATTTTCAGGCACTGAGTAATATCATTGCGCCTGCTGCACCCATGGTACGGCAGCAAAGTTCCTTGATTATTATGCCGGAATGAGAGTATAGTTCCTAGCCATATCGGCCTAGAAAATCGCAACTTTTCATTTTCCGTCGGTCTTAGTACACGATGTAACTACAGAAGAGTCAAGTTTTAAATAGGAAAAATATAGAAACTCTTTGGTCATTTTTGAGCGAGATGCTAATGGTCTAATCAGATTCAATGATCTATGCTAAGCTACAGCTAAAAGTGCTACCGCCAGACCCGGAGATCGGCTGAATGGATTCGAAAACGGTAAAACTCTAGGGGAGTTGGAAAATGAGCCTATTTTCAAAAATAGTGGAGTGTTCCTTTAAGACTGAGGAAAGTGAGTACTTTTAATGCAGCAGAACAATACACCAAAAAAGTCCAATGTCCATCTCAGGAACAACAAACTTCTTCACCTTTATAATAAACATTAACATTTTCTTAACATATGCAAGTCTGAATATATTCAGACAGAGTTCCTTTAGTAATGGAAAACACAGGTCAAGAAAAGTCATGAAACCTAATGTCAACTTAATCATATAAACTTCATGGTTATTTCTAGATATATTTAATAGATATATAGATTTAATTTTGTTATGTTTTAAAATATCCCTTATAGTAAAACCCATTTTGCAAGCCATAATAAAGTTTGATTTGTGGGTGAAATTATTTTGAGTTGGTTCTTTTCAACGAATTATTCAAAATCATTCACAAAATGGTTTTTAAACGTTTTTCTTCAGTAACCACAAATGTCCTTTTTGTTCACAAATTCATTCATCAAAAAGAGTGGGAACTTTTTATGTTGCTTTTGGTGAGCATTATAAAAGTGTATTAGTGGGAGACAGACCAATCCATCTGACCTGTCTTCAAGAGCTATACTTCGACATTTACAACTTCAAATTGGCCCAACAAAAGCTTTACAAGAGAGATGTGAACATTCGCCAGTATTTTAGATCAGTAGGGAGACCTCGTGGTCTGAGTATATTCACACATTTAAACTACCCCAACCTCAGAATGTGACCTATTTACCGCATTACAAAATACCACTCAAAGCAGTAATCTGTTGCTTTTTCAGATTTCTGAATGAGATGAAAATATCTGACATCTTACCTCCCGGTGACCAGGCAGCTGTGTCCCTCGGTCAGAGATGGAGTTAATGCTGCCATTATTACCTGCAAAAGACACAGAGGAAATTACATCAGCATCAAAACCACAAATGCGATATAGTCTACAGGAAACATGCCTACCTAGAAGAATACTTCAACACACTCTATAGCTTGTCACTAGAGCAGTACCATTAAAGGGACAATTTTGTACCTTATTTAACCCTAAAAGGTTCAAAGTAGTACCTTAAAGGTAAACAATTCTACTCTTTAGTATTAATATGCAGGTTTCTACTCTAGTCTTGCCTTTAAGAGTACTGCCCCAGTGACAAGCTGTTGTACCCTTAAAAGGTACGATTATTTCACATTTGCACAGGCAGTGTATGAAAACAGGAAATATTTGGTTACGTAAAAATAGGGCTTTTTCAGTACAGTAGTTCCTGCCCACATATACTGCAGCTCATAGACCAAACGGAGAGCAGTATTAATGTGAAGTACAGACTAGGGGTATTCAAATGACAGCTAAATTGATTCATTCCACTGTGCTTCAGGAGGCATATTACATTTTCAGAATCGTTTTTGTTTATTTTTCTTTGCTGTACAGCAGCTCCAACTTAAATAAACTCAGTGTTTTAGAGTGTTCGATTTTATAGCTGCTGAAGTGAAATGTCACACAACACATCATTTGATCAGCAGTACATGTCATTTCTGTCTTTGCTGCACTTTTGCTCTCTCCCCCACACACTTTGGTAGACATTCCATTGGTTAGACAGGCAACAATTTTAATGCTGAGCAGCCAACTTTGTGGGATAAAAGCACTTCCTGTGGGGAACAATCAGGTGGAGTGTTCTCTTTTTATACCAGGATAGACACAACACATATTGCCTGGCTAGTGCATGATCTCACAATTAGTGAGCAGTCTAATGCTGCCAATCAAATCAGAGATAGTTAACACTGAAAATTAGCGCAAGTAAATATATGTTCCATCATTAACAGATTAGATTACAGTCTCAGACAGGTTGTTCTGTTAATTTGATTGTGGTTTATTTAATTTTGATTTGTCAATTATGCTGCGTCATTCTTCAATTCATTCTTCAACACTGATATCAATTTAAAAAACAAAAGCACAAAGCAACACAGCATTTCTGATAAAAGTAGCTGTAAACATACACTCATATCCAGCCTTACAGCACAGGCATGAATCTTGACACATTGACAAACTGAAGGTTACAGCTATGAGGCAATGGAATTAAATAATGGACAAGGGCATCAACATTTCCTTAAACATCGCTAGCATTTGGAGCAAGGTTCACATTTCCAAATATGTGGCGCCACAGACAAGCACACTTGTCACAATGTGATCTCTGAGATGCTGATGAAGCATAATAAAATGCTGAATAATAATGAATATGAAGCAGAAACACAGGAGAAGATGAAAACAGAAAAGTGGGGGATGTACAGACAAGCAGCACACATAGCTCTGTCCGTACCTGCCTGAAAGGTCCTCCGGTAGCCTGTCAGAACGGCACAGCCATCTTAACCCATAAGATAGATAAACAGGTGTGTAAAGATGGAAGTAATATTTTAAAACCACACAAGCAACTTATTCTACATGTATTTCTCTAGGGGGAAAATAACACGTGCCATGGGTAACACTTTAAACTAGTGCTGGGAGATACACTGGTTCATACAGTATACAGTTCATACAGTTACACAACCGGTATGACTTTTTTTTTTTTAAAGGACATGTGCCTAAGCAAGGTAGACAGGGCTCTGACTGCCTTCAGAAAAGTTTAGATGTTTTTTTTCTTTTCGTCTCAACTCTGTATAATGCATGTTAAAAGAGTTACACAAGAGCAGCATTGCTTTGTTTACAGCGGTAACCAAGGAAACAGTAGCTACGTTTCCATCCACCTATTTTTATGCACAGTTTGGGATATAGCAAAAAAAACAAAAACACTGGATAGAAATGCTAAGATGCACATAAATTCTAAAAATGCACATAAAAAAAACTTACGCACTCAACTGAGTCGGATAAATTTCTTATCCGGTAAGAAAACATGCACCTAAACTATGCCGGAAACACTTTTACCAAATAAATTCCTTAATGTGCAGTTTGGACCCATAATTTTCACCCATACAATGTATTGTTGGCTATTACTACAAATATACCTGTGCGACTTAAGACTGGTTTTGTGGTCCAGGGTCACATTTAGCGAAACTTAATCAGGAAGTGACAATTTTGTTCTCTTCAACTCACTGAATGGAAACAGTGCTTTATTTGCAAATGTTTTATGCAATATTCCAATTTTGCGCATAGATTTAATTAGTAACTTTGGATGGAAACATAGCTACTCTATGACTGCTGTTACATAAGCGCCACCTGCTGTCAGAGAGTGAATCTGCGTTCTCATTCATCCTGTTTGCTGTTTTTGTTTTGTGCAGATATGTTTTATGTAGTACAGTTTCACAAAGCTAAAGTTAGAACATTCTGTTTTTGCCTTAAATTGTGAAATTCTACAATCTCATTTACTTATCTTTTTTTGAATAGTAATCAAAATGTAGTGGTCCTGCAACTAATTCATGCATTCTGATTCATATAAAGGCCCATTCAGTGTAAAACCACCACAATCCTTAAAAAAAAAAAAACATGCAAAAAATTTTTGGTCATTTCCAAAATCACAAAAATGTGCACTGGTAAATAGGTATAGGTCTGGTCTCTATCGTTTCCATTCTATGAGAAGACCAACATTTGCTCTGAGCAGAGCCAACAGGTGCTGTGGTCTCGCAGGCTTCCTCTGATCGTGCTATTATGGGTGATGATTAGGCCTACTGGGAAAGAAGGCTTTGATAATGGCACCTTTGTGTAATACTTTGAAGCAGAGAGGGAAAAAGCAGCAGTAGTGTTGATAAAACCTGTCTGAATACAAACCTGTGGCCCCCACAGTAATTTCCAAGTAAACACATCAACAGTTTGACTGAATCCATTTTTTTTTTGGTTCAGCAGATCGACCGAGATGGGCTGAGCTTGTTCAGCAGATGGGCTGAAAATATATTCACAATTCCTCACGTATCACACGACTCGCTATAGTAGTTATATAAAGTGAACTGAATTTTTATCAGCTGAATGAACTGAGCTTACATCATTGCACTCTTAATGCATGACAAAACACATAACTCTCAACAGGAAAAGTGTGTTAGGAAATGCCATAGAATCAGGTCGGAGAACACACACAGAATAGCTATTCCACCTTAACAGCAACTAAACCCCAATTCCAAACAACATCTTGTGTCCAGCACAAAGTCTTTTGAAAAAGCTGCACAATAACATAGGAACTGTATCTTTATCAACAGGATGCAATTGTGTCTCTGAGGAATTGAGGACTTTGTCATCTCCACCAAAGTCTTATGTAGCAAAGCAAATAATAACTACACTGCGAGGTCAGGAGCGGGACAGTAAATACATTTACTGATAGATATATTCATAACCGAAAACAGAAACAAACACCTCTTAGTCACGTACACACAAACCAACGCATAAATATTCATACAGACTGAAAACTACTAAAGGAAAACCCTGTATCTTGATTTTTTTTTATATTAAATATGTAGAATGTTTAATTTTCTATATGATGCTCAAGAGTCATGATTATAAAAAAAAAAAAAAAAGATTTCTTTAAAACAGAATGATCCCTGTAAGAGTTTATTAATGACTTTTACTGGGTCAACTACTTGTTCATACAGTATGGCTATCAAAGAGAAAACTAAATTAAAGAGCCTGTTACCATAGCAACAACTCTCACTCTCTCTCACCTTCTCCCAGTTACTGACAAGCGTTGCCTCACTTGTTGGCTGTTGTCTGCAAGTGGTGCGACAATTAAACCGTTTTGATACATTCTTTTGAGAAAAAAAATCTAGGAATTTTATTTTATTTCAATTAAACTCTGGAAACATTTTAGTAGAGTAACTCTGTAACTAAATTAATCTCTATTACCACAAGAGAGGTCAAGGGAAGAAAACCACTCATGCAAACACATAAAAACAAACACAGCAGGCATGGTGTGACAGGGAGGACTCTGAAATCTATTCAGGGTCCACATGGGTGTCAGTGTTGCACTCTCTTAAGAGGATACCATGAGGTCTGCCCTGATAAGAGACTGTCTTCTGTGCGGAAGCCCAGGGTGCACGTGTCACAGAAGAGACAGCGGAACGATTCACACTGTCAGACAGTGTATTATGCAGCCCATTTGAAAAGCAAAAGTCAATAAATGTTTTTCCGCAGGACAGAAATAACAAAACTTTGCACTGACTAAATTACTTTCTAATGATTAGAGCTCAGAACGATAAACTTCAAAATCAGCTTCAATAATGGCATTTTTACGATCTAGTTGGATTATAAACAATTGTAATGTGTGCCTTGCCAGGGGACACTGGTTTCTCTCAGTTTTTTTCCTCTCACTTTTGTCTGTGTCCTTTGGTTAGCTCACTGGTGGCACTAAGGGATGATTTCCATAAAGCTGTTTTGAAACATTATGCACTGTGAAAAATGCTATACAAGTTCAAATTGAAGTGGGTCAGCCCATCTCATCTCAAAAATCATAAAGTTGGTTGCTTGACCATTTTTAATTTTTCTATTTTTTTAATAATTAATTCTAAATCGTTTTGTGAACATTCAGTTGGACTTAGATGAATCCATTCATCAACCATTTTTTCCTAATTTTGTTTGAGTAATTACCTCTATGTAATTGTATTGTAAAACCACCATTTTCTTTCTTTTACTTTGTTTAACCGCAGTAGCTGTCTTTGCGTTATGGTCCACAACAAATTTTGGTTAAACAGACGCTATGAGCAACCTCCATATCTCAGCTTTGAGCTTCTTTACTTATCGCTAGATCATATTACAAGGTACATGTGGATATATAAACATTTAGACTTAAAATTTAAGGTCAAATGTAGATAAAGATAGCTTAGGGTTCCAAATATAGAGTCAATTTACAATGGGAAAGATTGAAGTCTCAACCCTAAGTCTTTACCTTGGTAAATATAGTGTACATATTGGACTTAAATTCTAAGTCTAAGAAACAATGCATACATGTACCATGAAATATGCTCTAGAGATTAGTTTTTTAGTTTCAGACCATCCCGAGCTGAGATATTGAGGTTTAAACATCCATCTGAAATTTTGCCTATATAATTTTGTTTAAAAAAAAAAAAAGTCCCCTGAAACAAAAAAGGCTGCTGTGGTTAAAACTTAATAATAAAAACCTTCATTTAAAAACTGCATGTTGTGTTTACTTGTGTTATCTTTGACTAATATTTAAATTTGTTTGATGATCTGAAACATTAAAGTGTGACAAACATGCAAAAAAATAAGAAATCAGGAAGGGGGCCAAGACTTTTTCCACACCACTGTAATTTAAAAAGACTATCTAAAACTAAACACAAATACACTGATGCATAGTCATGATATGCATGCCGCAATAACAATGATTATGATAAGAAGTAATATATTACCATGCTTCAATTACTTCCGCAACAGGAAACTTTACAGCTAAAATGAAATAATGTGCAATATGGACATTTTTAAGCATCTATAATGAGCTGGCCATTAGCTTAGCTGTGGGTTTTAGGTTGATTCTCTAAGAGAAGTTAAAACTGTTTTAGAGCTGCTTACATGTATTTTAGGCCAAGCTCTGCTGCTCTTGTTCATTTTACTGTGAATTAAGCACCTATAAAATCAAACTTATATTAAACTCACAAATCTTGTAGTGCACATTTAGCTGTGATTGTATGCTTGTAGCTTGTAGCAGTGATATAAAACTTTTCATATGAAAATAACTAACTTGGAGTTTCAAGGCATTTCAGTGTGAAATATTTTCGTATATTAATAAAATACAGTGCAAGTAAAATTTATCATACAAAATTGTCACTGTAAATCCCTCTGTTTTTTCAATCACACATCACAGACATAATGTGTGCCATGGCAGGGCAGTGCCACAGTCCCAGTCGGGAAGAATAATCAAATTACTATCCAGTGAATCACCTATGATCAGTACACAGATTAAACAGTAGCAGTGACAGGCAAAGCAGGAGGGATTAGCCTGGGGTTCCCCTGAAATATCATTTAGATGATTTCCAACGAAAAAGGCCACTTTTTTCCATACATTCTAGTTTTTCTCTTTCCTTTCAACCACTCCCTCCTACAGAAAACACATTCATGACACAGGCAAACCGCAGCATCAGTTAGAAGAACTGCAGAGCAAAATAATAATAATAATAAGTCACTTGGGCATACAAACCCACACACCTATGTGAACACAAGTCGTGGACATAAACATACACCTACATGCCTCACACTTAATAAAAGTCTCCATCAAACCTTAACGCTTTAACAACCATTACTCAACCTGTGCAACAAAAAGCCTCAGGGTGACAGGAGCCAAGCACCAGACCCAGGACTGATTCATTTCAGCTCTGCTCAGCTCAATAATTCATTTTACATTATTAAAAAACAAGATGAGTAATATCGAGTGGGATCAAACTAAACTGTTGCATGACACATCTGTCACATCCCTGAGCTAAACCGTCAGCGCAGGATATTCGGTTCAGATAATACTCTATTTAGTTGTCATGGGGGAAAACCAGGAACGTCTTCCCAGGCCCCGTGTCAAGGGGGCCCCCCTTAAGGTCCTCTATTGCAAACTAGCCTACCATTATCTGGAATGGTATCATTCCAGATAAAATAAGGATTTTGCTATTTGTTTGATGCAATACTGCAAAATCGAGTACAATACATTACACTATTCAATACTACACTGATTCAAAGACTACTCGCTTCTTTTTTTATATCACATTCTTAAAGGAGGAGCCTTATGTTTTCTAGTCTAAAAATGTCCTGTGTGCAGTGGAACTGAATGAACTCTGAATGAGTCACAACGACGCCAGACATTTTAACTGATTCAACATAAGGACTGTTTGATTCTCAAGTTAAACTGGGACTGAGGCCAAGCCATGTGGCAAGACAGAGTAACGCGAAAACGAATTAAAGGGGTGATCCAAACTGCTCCTAAAACTGCTATTCATACAAAGATACTACAATAAAATATCACGTTTCTCTGTACTTTTTCTAAATCCGTAGGTCATGCAGGTAAATGAACACCAGGACTCTTTTACTGGATTTAAACCCTGTTAAAACACGCTTTCGTAATGCAGGATATTGCACGGTGCCAGGTAACAACAGTCTCTGGGTGTAGACCGCAACTTTTCCATGCCTTGCCATTTCAGGAACTTAGGCTATTTTAATTTTAGCTCAAAACCGCTTATCTGAATATATGTACTTTGTTTATACTTCTTTATTTTGTTATGGCGAACTGACCCAGCGAATATGTAGCAGTGTATCTTTTATCATCGGTCTTTGATTCTGCCAGCTGATTGAACGCAGAGGTTATTTATTTCTCGTCCTTTACCGCTGACAACAACTCCCAGGAGACTGACCTTCTCATTATTATGATACTGAATAATACGGCATATTATTGCTACACAGCTGTTGTAGCAGTTTCTTTACCTTCAATCTGAGAATCCAGCGTGTTGGACATTTCTATCAAAGTGGCTTCTTTCGTCTTCCCCGTTAATCTCTTCATGATAAATTCGTTTGTTTCTTTTCTCCCACGTGACAATTAAAAAAAAGAATCTGTATGTCAACCAGATTAATCTGTCTTTTTTTTTCTGGCTGCCGAACGGGATTTCCGCCTTCAAGCTTTAGGATGTTGGTAGGGAGAATGTAGCGGCTAAACTGTGAATCCCTCGCTCGCTTTCTTCTCCTAGAGGAGCAGCAGCAGCAGCGGCGGCGAACTGATGTGGTGATGATGATGATGATGTCTTAAAGGGGAGTGGCTTTCCGTCGGCATAATGACATAAAATTCGTGAAAATTATTACCGGGCTCTGGGGTCACGTTCTTTATTTCCTGTGTCTATGTTAAGTCACATTACTACACGGTATATATTTTTGATTAAATTCAAAATTAATTGTAAAAGTATACACCTCTATTTGTCATGCTTGTCCTGTAAAGGAGATTTGGGATTATGATTCTTACTATAAGCAGTCCTACATATCCATTACCTCAATTAATTTTTAATGAAACCACATTGGGTCAGGTCGCACGTGCTTCTATTTTAGAGCATTTGCTCCCTCTGCTGGTCATTGAGCAGATAGCAAAATGTTGGGGGTGTGTCCCAATCTCCTATAGTACCCTGTAAAGTGGACTTAAAGGGATATTCTGTCGTACTACATTCTAAAAATGTTCTAAAAGAAGTAGTTTTTGGCATTTATGGTTCCATGAAAAATATTTAACATACATGGAACTTTTCCAACCCACAAAAGATTCTTCAAAGTGGTAAAAAGATCTTTAGATGAAAAAAAAAAAAGTTCTTCATACTAAGAAACAAATGGTTATTTTAAGAACTACACGTAACATATGAAATGAATATGAAATCTTCAATAGTTTACATACCAGTCATTAAGCACCACCTATATTTATGAATTTAGGTTAATTTAATAAATATGGTGAAAATTATTTTGTTTATTACGACACCTTAATTAAATTAAGCACATTTATTTTCACATTAAACATCACAGCATTCATTTATTACATAAAATTTCGGCGTTTAAATAATTGAAATATTTATTAAATATTATATGAATATTTAATAATATTATATATTTAATAATATCTTATATAAACTCATTTGTATTATATAGATTTATATATTTGAACGTAACTGACTTTTATATTATATTATATTATATTTGAGAAGAAGTGAACGACGCAGCTGTTTTCTTTCTTGAAGGTAAACTACATTACCCACAAAGCAACTACTAAGAAACAAATGGTTATTTTAAGAACTACACGTAACATATGAAATGAATATGAAATCTTCAATAGTTTACATACCAGTCATTAAGCACCACCTATATTTATGAATTTAGGTTAATTTAATAAATATGGTGAAAATGATTTTGTTTATTACGACACCTTAATTAAATTAAGCACATTTATTTTCACATTAAACATCACAGCATTCATTTATTACATAAAATTTCGGCGTTTAAATAATTGAAATATTTATTAAATATTATATGAATATTTAATAATATTATATATTTAATAATATCTTATATAAACTCATTTGTATTATATAGATTTATATATTTGAACGTAACTGACTTTTATATTATATTATATTATATTTGAGAAGAAGTGAACGACGCAGCTGTTTTCTTTCTTGAAGGTAAACTACATTACCCACAAAGCAACTCTTCGTGTAGCATGCGCATTCACTACAGCTAAAGGTATGCTATTGCTTATGTGAACCGCCAGATACGAGTCAAATAACTGAGTAATCTTCAAAATATGGATGCTATATTTAAATACTTTTGTTATCGAAAACTCTGTAGGGTCTAAGGGCGTTTTGAGTTTCTTTAGATCACGATAATTATCACATCTAGGCGGATTACGTTAGCTGACTGCGTGCCGTTAGCTGTTTTAACATGCGTGATCAGATTATGTTTCTGTTCACTGACATTTCATTCAAGTATTTATTAATTGTGTTAAAATGCCTGTATTTTGCTAATTTCTTTAATTTAATAAGCAAGCAGACATACAAAGATATGCTAATTTTGTTTCATACACGCTTAGGAATAAGAGGACAGCCTCAAGACTACCGCTATGGCCATAACTTTGATCAGTAACGTTACTTTGGACTCAGTGATTTGAGCTAAAATGACCAGCTCGCAGTACCTGTGAGTCTACAAGCCCAGTAAGATACCTGCATGCACCCATGCGTCGTTCCAGCTGTATAACAAATCCTCTGCTTTCTTCAGAGTATTGCCATTATGAAGCATACAAACGTCTTCACATTAAAGAACCACAGCGTCACAAGATCTGTAAAAAAAATATGGATTTTAATCATGATTAATGTATTGGAATACCTGTGCTAAATACATGTAATGTAATTATATTTAATAGGTGAAGATCTCACAGCTTGTTTTTCATTCTGGTTCCTACAGGTGTCTCAAGATCCTTTAGGTGAGCGAGTAGTTCTTCATCTATTCTTTTCTCTCCATTTGTCCGTTTATCTTTCATGAGTTGGTAAAAAATAAAGTTCAAGAACACCATTCTATTTAGTTTATTAGCACGAGTGTTATGTGCAGTCAATACTTTACATTTACTTTGTTACTCTTGGAGAAACTGTCAGTAGATTCTGGTTTAGTGCATCTCTAAGCAAGTATTTCTTCATTCTTTTATCTTCAGATCTTTCAGAAGATCTCTCAGCATAAATATCCAGCTTCTAATTGTATCACTTGACCTAACCTCAGAGTAGCAGCACAATGAGTGACTCAAACCGCAAAGAAAAGGATGCCCTCAACAGTCTGTCTAATAGAGATACAATTGAACTCCCAGATGATCTTTCTCTGAGCGACTCTGACTCTGAGGAGCCCACTGAGCATTTCAGCAGAAAGGTTGAGGACTTGTCATCGTCCTCAGAGGATGAAGACGAGACTCCGCAGCATGTCCAGTCTGTTCCTAAAGAAAATCCCACCTTCAGACTGACAGGTGGGAGCTCTGGTTTCTGTGATCGGAGCAGGGGCATCTTTGCACAGTTGGATAGTGCTGCAAAGCTCACGTCTAAAGATCTAGGTGAAGACAACATCCTTGATGGCACGTTCGCTCGTCCTGCTCCACCATCACCTCCACAGGAAGCTCAAAGGAAGTGTGGTGGCCAAGAGACAACCAAAAAACAACCTCCAGGCAAAAAACTCCCTGACTACCTTGCAAACCCTGAGCGCTGGACCCACTACAGTCTTGAAGATACCGCTGACACCAGTGATAGAAAGAATAGTCAGATCGCTCATCAGTTTAAACGAGGTCTTCAAGACAGCAGGAGGTCTCAGAAAGATGTGCTTGAGACTTTCACTCCAGGTTTCAACCAGGATCATGGTAGCCCCAGTGAGAATAAGATTGTGTTCACTAAACCCAAGATTAAAGATCAGAGTGGGAGCAAACTTGATCATGCTAAGAAGGAAGAAGTTGAACTTCAACACTTGGATGACAGACAAGAGGCTGATGAAGGAGAGGATGGTCCTCTTCATCGCCGCTTCAGCTCATGGGAGAATAAAGAGAAAAAAAGAAAGTGGAGGACTGAAATAGAGGAGGAAGACAAAAAGGTGTCCAGTGTTGTCTTCAACGGCAGCAAGAAAGTAAATCGCAAACACTTCCGTAAAACACTTGAAGATGATGGTGTCACAAAGTGAGCACTTTGTACATAAATACTTAAAACTACTGTTTTAATGTTTATGTTTTTCAAACATACTATTTTGTATAAAGTTGTTTGACTTTCCATGTATCTAAGTTTTTGTTGTATAATCCATGAAAAGCTCTTGCTGTCATACTGTACAGGCTCAAAGGATAGTGAAACAAAATAACCCACATATCTATAGATTGAAAACCTGTCTGCAGCCTATCAGTGTTTTAGTGTGTGTACAATTATTCTGAGGTGTCGGATTTTTATGACCACTTTTCATGAATAAATTTGACTCAGTTATGTACTTTGAGATCACGTTTAATAAGTGTGCTTTGTCTTAATGTTGGTGAAAATGTAAAGCTCAATGTTTTGCATGGCCACATGTTGATTGATCATGAACAATGCAAATTAGAAGAGGAATTCTGACTCTGGTACAGTAACAAGGCTATAACAACCATGGGCATTGAGTTTGACAACGACAACTTCCTACTTTTTTAAAAATTAAATTAAATGGCTAGTGCCTATTATATGGAGAGGGGAAAAGTATCATTTTCAGGGTTCCCACTGTCCTGCTAAACCAAATTATAGAAGCATAATTTGCAGACCTGGAAAAGTCATGGAAATTACAAGATTACTATTACTAAGATACATTACTAAGATCTAAGATACAATAAAATATTGATTTTATATGTATATGTATATATATATATATATACAGTATCAAACAGAAGTGAGTACACCCACATTTTACATAAAGATGGCGTAGGCTATAAGAAGTTTGCCAAGACCCTGAAACTGAGCTGCAGCACGGTGGCCAAGACATACAGCGGTTTAACAGGACAGGTTCCACTCAGAACAGGCCTCGCCATGGTCGACCAAAGAAGTTGAGTGCACGTGCTCAGCGTCATATCCAGAGGTTGTGTTTGGGAAATAGACATATGAGTGCTGCCGGCATTGCTGCAGAGGTTGAAGGGGTTGGGGGTCAGTCTGTCAGTGCTCAGACCATACGCCGCACGCTGCATCAAATTGGTCTGCATGGCTGTTGTCCCAGAAGGAAGCCTCTTCTAAAGATGATGCACAAGAAAGCCCGCAAACAGTTTGCTGAAGACAAGCAGACTAAGGACATGGATTACTGGAACCATGTCCTGTGGTCTGATGAGACCAAGATAAACTTATTTGGTTCAGATGGTGTCAAGCGTGTGTGGCGGCAACCAGGTGAGGAGTACGAAGTGTGTCTTGCCTACAGTCAAGCATGATGGTGGGAGTGTCGTGGTCTGGGGCTGCATGAGTGCTGCCGGCACTACCATGAATGCCAACGTTATAATTTTGAAAATACAGAGGAGTGACAACTCTAACCACCTCTGCACATTCAGAGCTAACTGTTGGCGGTAACGTCTGTGTAGTGTGTGAACTGCTGAGGCTAAGGCTGCATTTACACTGGCACAAAAATTCCGATCTTTCGCTCACATCTGACACGGATCGGAATTTGTTGCACACGTGTAAACACAAAAACCCGCACGAGATCCGATTTTTTTGCATCCGATCTGAGCCACTTCCAAATGTGGATTTTAATCGGATACACATCTGATATCTGGACATCCGACCTACGGCTAAACAATCGGATCTGTGCATTAAGACTTGCAGTGTAAACGCAGCCTAAGTTGAGTTTCGATCTCTCGTTATCAGTAATAATATGTGTGTATCGACAGTAAAGAAGCCTCAGCCCCTCCCGTCAACAGAAAGCGATGACGTATGTGGTCTCACCTGTACAGGTAAATGGCACGAGCATACCGTCGTGCTTGCGGATCTCTTAAACATGAAAATGCGGAAGTCCACACTGATTTCGATCGCTCTCAGTTGTAATTTCTTGCATTAGTTAGAGCTGGTCCTCGGCTATGTGAGGATACAAGAGGAGACACCGACGTTAGTCTGCCTATAGCCCGCTTAACTGATCTGCTTTGGGAACTTTGATGAGGATGTTCTTCACTGATCGAGAGGTACAGTGTGTGTGTGTGTATTGCAGGTTTCGAAGGTGCATAGGTAAAGGCCTGTCTCTGTGATTGATCTTGAAGTCGAGTGTTTATTCATTTAATTGGTCAATGAGAGACTTTTGATCGTTCATGTGAAGAGAAAAGACTAGTGCTGTTTTCTGACTAAATAGAGCTATTTAGAATGAAAAATATGCTGTATGTTTTAAATACCCTTAAATATATAATTTATAATATACAATTTTCAGTACAGTAGAAGCAGTTTCTGTGTTGCACTCACCCTGTCGTAAACATCATTGGCTAATCGTACTGAAACAATATGTTCCACAATATATAGAGAGGCAATTTACAGTAACAGTATATCCCATAGCACTGTTTAAAGTAGTTGTTTACAGTCTTCTGTCAAGCAAGACAAAACCTGTTATGACTATATATTTTTCCTTCGTGAATGACTGTGTACTGGGATGTAAAATAACTTGTCTCATTTGAATTATTAAAATGTGTGTAATGTAGTTATTCCACAAAGATATAACAGTGTTATTTAGGAGGGATTGATGTCCTCAGAAGATGACAAACTTTTCTGAGGAACACTCACCGGACCTGAACATCTTGTTGCTGAGAACTTTCAGGTGTATGCTTCAGAAAAGAGGCTTTGCTGTGACTGTAAACATACTGTACACTACAATGTTTGTGTACTCTCATCATGTTTTACTCAGACAGCTCATTCACTTGCTAAAAAATATAGTTATTTATTTATTTATTTTATGGATTAGATGTTTTAGACTCATTGTTAATGGATGTTATGAGATTTTGAGTAAAATGATCATGATGTGTTCGTATTGCGTAAAATGTGTGCAAAATCTGTTGTTGTAGTTGAACAGGTTATTTGTCTTGAGGCTGTGCTGCTTTAAATGTCTTAGAGCAAGAAACATACTTTAATTATCGTGGCTTTAGTTAATGTTTATGCAAGGCAGAGGTGAAGAATCAAAATCCACGTTCTTAGTGATTCCTCAGTGTTTCTGTCTTTCTGACACACACTCAGACAATTGTTGTAGTATTATAAAAGGTTACCCAATGGCATGTCTAGACCTGTAGTCATACCAGCAGTAATAGCTTCTGTCAAACAGAAAGTAAAATATAGAACAGGAAGAAGAAATAAAGCTTTAAAACGCTCACTGCAAAAAAAATGCTTCAAAAAACAAGTCAAAATTAAGTGAGTTTTTGCTTGAAACAAGCAAAATATCACTTAATTGGGGTAAGCAAAATAATTTTGTTTTCTGTTTGAAATAAGATTATTTTGCTTACCCCATTGGCAGATTATTTA